CATCTATTTCTTTTTTTTCCCCTTAGTACCAGGATGTCAGCTGTCACTTCTATTGTCAGCTGACATTTCTGTTGTCACTGTGCTACCTGTAGTTGTCCTTTCTCTTTTTTAAAAACCAAACTGTTAAAAGTTGTACCCAAAGTAAGAGTGTATGGTTCAAAGTCATGACTACAGCATTGTAGAGTACACATTTATTCATTCATTTGTATTCTAAGCAATGTGGCTATAGTTTGTGCCCTTGTGAATATTCTTATTCCAGTGGAGGGAGAAAGACAGTTAAAACAAACAAACAAAAACCCACTTAATTACTTTGGGATAAATGAAATGTTTCTGCACTTTAGTTTTGTTTTAGAGTTAAAATCAAATGGGAGGTCACATGCCTGTATACTGCCTGATTACACTATAGATCAGTCTCCATTTGCAGCCTACTGACTTTCTGTTTGACATGGGGGAAGGGTAGAGACAGGCAGGGACCCCCCTTTTTTTTTTCTTTATTCATATATTCATATGTGCATATATTATTTGAGTCATTTCTCCCCCATGGCCCCTCCCCCGTCCCTTCCCTCTCTCCTCCAACCCTCTACCTTTCTTTTTAATGGAATAATGAGCTGACAGGTTATGGTAGACTAATTTAAAAATAAAAAGAACTGTAAGTATAAACAGTGCTAAAGAGCATAGAGCAAGATATGCAGAGATCTGAGTTCTGGCTCCAGTTCTGCCCTGAAATGACATAAATAAGTCATTTGAGTTCCTGGATGCAGAATTGTGTGTGGTATCCCCCACTTGTAGTCCCAACACTTAGGAGGTGGAGGCAAGGAGGATCGTCAGCCTGGGGCTACATAGCAAGACCCTGTTTCAAAAAAATAAATAAATAAACAAAATAAAAATTTTTAAATCCCCTATTAAATACAGATAAATTCGGCATTTCTCAAAGTGGATTCCATGGAGCATTCACAAGTTCTGAACATGTTAATAGGGCTTTGTGGCAAGGTCACAGCCAGCCCATCTCTAAGGATTGAGTAGGATCCCTCCACGAGGGCACAGTCCAGCAAGCTTACAAATTGGAGAGAGGAGGGAGTTAAGTTAAAGAAGAATGGCCTCTTCCCCCAGTTGGTTTTCTTCTCCCACTCCCTTGCCCACTATAAATCCCGCACAACACTAAACAGCTGCCCTGACTGTAGTCAAATAGCTTTGAGAAGTAACTGACTAAGCAGGTTTTCTTCAGTACAAAATGTCTTAGAGTTTTAATATTGCTAATGAGCTGCACTTTGAATCACCAAGAAAGAAAGTATAGTAGTTCTTGTTGGACCTCAGAACATCTTTTCTGTGGGATTAGTATTCCTTTACACAGATTGAACTGCATTATCATTATCTGTCCTTGCTGTTCTAAGAATTTTGTTCTCACATGTTTTATTCTTATACCTTTTCCTCCTTTAGTAAAAAATAAAGTCCTTACTACCAGCACAACATCTGCAAATTACTGTCTATGGTAACCATTCCCTTTGCCACATTGCTTTTTCATTCAAGCCTGTTTGGTGACCAGAATACTATTCCACAACCTCCCTCTCAGGACTGCATAAACAGAAATAACATCCAAGAACTTTAAGAGGTAGCTGTCACCAGTATAACAAACACATGACCACGTGATCACATTTGATGCTCAAACCGTATGTGTTAATACATAAGCATATATGTATAAATAGCAGATTTGGTCATTCTTAATTTATAGTTAGCTATAATGTGATTGTTCTGTTTTCTCCAACTCTTCCTGAATGTGAAGTGGAAGAGGAGACGGTTTCCACCTAGACTTCCTTCTTCTTTAACCATGCAGAATGCAGGGTGTGCAGACTGAGGCGGTTCAAACAACACTGCACAACCACAGGCATGGGGTTGAGTTCTTTATGTCTTAAACTACTCTGTCTGTAAGCAAAAGAGCAACGGAGAGATTCACTTATATGAATAATAAGAATATCACTAATAGGCCAGGCACTGGTGGCTCACTCCTGTATTTCTAGCTACTTGGGAGGCTGAGATCTGGAGGACTGCAATTCAAGGCCAGCCCAGGCAAATAGTTTGTGAGAGCCCCATCTCCAAAAATAACCAGAACAAAGTGGACTGGAGGTGTGGCTCAGTTGCTAGAGTACCTGTTTTGCAAGCACGAAGCCCTGAGTTCAAACTCCAGTCCCACCAAAAAAAAAAAAAAAAAAAGATAATATCACTAATATTAAATATTATTTAGTAAAATGCTAATATACTAGTGGGTTTAAGAAATGAACCATTGACTGTAAAAATTGATTCCAGTGTGACTCTTGTGGAATCATATAAAAGAGTGGCAGCCAAAACCATTCACTTTTAAAAAAAATAAACAGCTCAGCTATCTGCACTGACTGATGGGCTGAGTTGTTGCTCACATCAGAAACAGCACTCGGCATTTCATATTTTTCATAATTTGGTTAGCAAGAAGTAGGACAGTAGCTCTGAGTTCTTGGTTGGAACATATTCCATGTTTACATTTAACTCATATAATATTTATGTTAATGAGAAAGAATCTTTCTCTCACATAAACTTTGTCACCTAAGAATATCATTGGCTTCTTTCCCTAAGTAACTTTTAAAAAATCTTTTTAAAAAATGCTTTTTAATTATAGTTGAGTTTAAGAGTAGAATCCTTATACCAGTCTGGAGGGTCGTTTCAAATTTAAGAAACCAGTAGGGATATAATGTTCTATTTTGCAAAAATAGCATTGCATGCCAAATTTTGAGTTCTCTCAAAAATTCCCTCACCAGTCTTAGTGGCTGATTATTCTCAAAACTTAGAGATTGTGTTCAGCCTTGTTGCCAAAAATGGTTCAGTGTGGCAGAGATTTGCTCACATAGCCAAGCAGCAGTGTCAATGATGTGCTGATAGGCTTAATGTTAGTTATAACTTGTGAAGGCAGTGCCTTAGACATTAGTGAAATCAACTCTTCTTTTGTTTTTTTGTCGTATCAATTTATGAATACTGCTGTCAGTAGCTGTTTCCCATTTGTCTCCCTGCTTTTACTGTCTCTGTAAAAGATTCTTTTTTTGTTTTTGGGCTTAAGTACCACCTGAAGAGAGAAGCATTTTAAGGCCTGGGAGACTGGCCAGTGCCCTTTGTCCTGTTCACCTACTAAAAGGTAGCATTGTTAACCTAATTCAGCAGGGCCCTGACTCAGTGTAAACACTGCTCCATAGACACAGAAAGACTAATTGAATTGTACAATATATCATTTTTAGCAACAGTTTCAAGTAAATTGTATTTCATTTCCTAGGACACCATCAGTTTTTCCCCTCATTGAAAATATTTAAATACAGCAAATATTTAAACATGATAAATAAAATATTTAGCCCAATTCTGCCTTTGCACACAGAGGTGCCTGAGGACAGGGCCATGCCTAGTTTATCTTCTACCAAAGGCCTAATGCTTGCTATGGTATCTGGCATACACCAGTGTCTGTATGCCTCAAAAAGATTTGTTTTCTGAAATGATGCAATTTTTGCATCCCTATAAGGAATATAAGCTTTGGTATATGCTTTACAATATAAAAAATGATAATGATGAATCTTATAAATGTGTATAAGAGTGTATGTTTTGATCAGTGCACAATAGCCATAAATCGAATGATCACATGTACATATTGAGAGATTTTCATGGTTGTATCTGCCAGTTGTACTCTCCTCTCTGCTCACCATGTGAGTTTCTACTTATCTTTTAGACCCAAATCCAGTATCACGTGCTTTGACAGGCCTATCTGGCCTGTCAAAGCCAGTGGGCCTTAACCAAGCTACATACAGTTTTAAATGTTTGTGTTTAAACAGTGAGACAATGAGCCCCTTGAAGGCAGGGACTGTATCCAATTTATGTTCATTTATAAGCATTGGTCTAGAGTATAAAGTATAGTGGATTTTCAGTTTTCTTTCTAATGAGTCGAGTTGTTTGTTTTAGTGCTGAATTCCAGCCTTTCTTCTAGAGACATGTTAGTGGAAACTTTTTGGAAAGATTTGTACATTCCATAAGTAGAAACTGAGCCAACTCTGTGTATCAGTCTCTCATTTGTATCTCAGGATCAATGAATTGGCATGTAGAGACTGAACAATTACCTGTGTGTCATGCACTATTTAAACTACTCTTTGTCTTTGGTGCATTGTGTCTCCAATGCACTGTTTATTTCTACTGATGACAATGACATTTTAAAAATCAACTTTCATATTCTTGCCAGAAGTGGATATACAGTTGGATGGATATATTGGCTACAGTCAGCCCAAGTTCAAAGGTGTTGTAATAAGAGCATCTCCTTTCTGGGCACTGAAACAGTGTGTTTGAGCCTGTTTTCTATTCAGTCAAACAATTCTTAATATGGTATCCCTTCTTTTCTTTCTTCTTTTTTTTTTTGAGAATATCCTTTCATTCCTTTAAGTTTGGTAATATCTGTATGAGTACCTATTTTTAAGTGACTAGTTTTTTAAAGTTATGGAGTAAATATACATATATACATATATATTTATGTAGTTTTAAAATTCAGTGTTCATCTTGAGGGTCATAATGAATGCCTGCTTATTTGTCTTACTTTTAATTTTGAAATAATTATAGATTCACAAGAAATTGCATATATAGTATAGAGAGCTCCGGTGTACCTTTTGCAGTTTCACAACAATAAGATATAAAAAACAAACAAACAAAACAGGAACTTGACCTTGATATGACGGGGCTGAAGAGTTCTGTATCATTTATCTAACATGTATACAGGATCGTTTAATTGCTACCACAACCAATATACAGAAGTATTAATTCCTTCCAAGTTGTACCAGTTGAATGTCTGAAAGATAGAAAGAGAAACAAAAATTTATATTTATTCAACTATGGGCTTTTTCATTTAGCTGTGTACAGAAAATAATGTCACTTTGTTATTAAGCTATCGCTGAGCAGGTGTAGAAAGCTGAATGAGTGATCAGAAATGATTGCCAACGCCTGTTTTGCAGGTGTCGAAGCAGGCTAAGGAGTTTCTGGAGTACGTGTACGAAGAACCCCTGATCGACATCCAGCAGGATAACCCCATATTGTACCTGCACGCCGAGCCGCTGGCTACTGTGCTGCGGCTTCGCCAGCGGCTCAAATCGCTCCGCGCCTATTTGTTCAGCTGCCGAGCAGCCGTGGCAGAGGATCTGCGTCGTCGGTAAGCCATAAATGTCACGCAGCTCCAGTTTGTTTTCCCTCCGCCCAGGGAAGGTGGCTGGATGATCCCTCAAGGTTTTTCCAGGGCAGGCCTTCTCTAAGTCAGTGGGTCTCCCTCCACCTCCACTGCCCCCTCGCTCTGGGCTCATCTCCGACTTTCTCCTCTGACTTCCTTTATTTGGTTGAGCAAAGCAAAATGAAAATAATTTCTCAGCGTAACCGAAGGCTTTCAACCCAGGGACAGAGTGCCAAGACACAAGCTTTCTCTTACCACGTGTTAATTTAAGATAGTAATCATAGGACTTTCTTCATTGGCCACTTAATGCCGTGTTTTATACTTTCCTACTTATCATCACTAAACATAAGCATGTTTGAAATATATCTCATAACTAAAAAACATTTCCAATGAGAAACAAATAGGTGGTTATTCAAATCTTACTTTCCATACAGAAACAAATATCCAAGCTTGTAAATGCTGCAGGCAGGAGAGCTGGAATTAAAAGGCACAAGCCCAGGATTCTGCCTTTTCGTGGTATCATTGGTGCAGCCTCCTTTCCATAACTGAGCTCATAGTTCATAGAATACACAAGTCCAAACCAGGCTCAAACCCTTAAAATAAAGTTGAAGTTAAAATGTGCTTTGCTCTCATAAAATTCCTTCTTTTACAGTTAGATTTTATGAGCATTTTAAACTCTCATCCTTGGCATAAACGAACTAGCTTATACTTGAAATAATTGTTGATGGGGTGCATAAGTCCCTAAAAATACCTTTTGATTTTTTTCAGTTTCAATAGAAATGACCAGCAGCATAGATTAGTCATGTTAAATGTTTTTGGAAGCAAGCCTACCTGCATAAGAACCTTTGGAAAGAGTTAAAATGATGGAGTTTGTGATTTGAGATCCAGTTAGATCAAGAGAAACTGACATAACCCTGCGCATCTGAGGAAGACATTTAAAGAACTAAGTGTAGATAGTGAAAAGATGTATAATATCTGGACAAGCTCTTGTAAAATAATAATGAAAAGGTTGCTGCCATGGAGCAAAATACTTTTTAGTGGTAGTCATTCTATTATCTAGTTGTTTTTCAAAAAGTAGTTGGAATTTATTCTTATAAAATCTTGGCAGATCTTAATTTTAAAAGATCAGGTCTTCTCTGGAAGGCGATAGAATTATATGTCTCAAGCTAATTTACCAACTAAATTAATGCAAGATTTTTAATGTTCAAAGCATGTTCGTTCTGTTATTTTCAGGACCTTTTGGATTTGCTCAGAGCTTGTTTTTCTTGTGCCTATATTTGTAGATGATAGGAAATCTACACATGGGAATCATGTTAGATACCTTTCTAGCATAATGTTTTGCTTTGGTTAAAATGTGCCAAATCAGGGCACACATTTAGAAATAAAATAGGAGGTCCTCTTCCCCATATGGATGAGTAAGAATCCCTACTATATTCCAAAAGTCTGGTGGTTTACCACCATGTACTGTGCCTTATGACCAGACCACCAGGAGAGATGTGGAAGTTTTAGAAATAAAGCACTCCCAAACTGTGAGAATGAAAACAGCAATCCTTTTTTCCTTTCTCTTCATTTTTTTCTGGCTAGGCTTGTTATGACCATCATATAAAGCAGTGTCTGGCAGAAGGCATTAAATAGATAGATGGGGGGGCAGGGAACCAGTGTTAAGGGTCAATTGGTACCACTGTGCAATAACTAGTACCCAATTTAGGGGAAGAAGACATCTTCAAATTATTCTTTGCCTTACTTTCTTATATATCACTTAGAGTAGTGTCTCATCCATCCAAAACCCTCAAAAATAGGTGATGAATGCGTGAACAAATGAAAGAAATACCTGACCAAATTAGTCAAAAAGATTTGGTCTATTCTGTGTCTGAATAACTCTCAAATCTTTCCTAGGATCATTGCAGTATTCTTCTAACTAGTCTATGTAACATCAGTTTTTCTCTCTCCAATCTAACCTTTACTATGTAGCCAAATTATTGAAGTACAAGAATGGTATTCAAAATCTGCCCAGATATACCCAGTATATTGTTCTGGTCTCTCAAACACCCTGACATTAAACAAAAATTATTGTTTAATTCTCACTGCAGTACATTTTGTTATGGAAATTAAATGGGTTTGTACCGCTGAAGAATTTAAAATAGTACTTACACAAAGTAAACTCTTAGCAATTACCATCATTGTTATTAATAATGCTTTCTTATCCTAGACTGTTCTTATATTTGACTTCAAAAATCTTTGATAGAGTCTTTGATAAAATGTTCCAGCTGAAGCCAGGCACCAGTGGCAGGAGGCAGACGCTGGGAGGATCACGATTCCAAGCCAACCCAGGCAAATAGTTCATGAGACCAGCTGAACATGATGGTACATGCCTATAATCCCAGCACTCAGGAGGCTGAGGCAGAATGATCTCGAGTTTGAACCCAACCTGGGCTACATAGAAAGTTGAAGGCCAGCCTGGACTACATAGCAAGACCCTATCTTTAAAAAAAGAAAAAAAAAATAGAGGTTCCACTTAAAAGTCACCCCTTAGTGTCCTCTCTGCTAGAATTACACCTGTTCTCCTGCTACTGTGTCAGGAAAGGAGTGAACTAGGCAGGTGGGTAGAAAGCTAGCTGTGCCTAAGGCTGCAGTTACTAGGTGTACCTACAGTGATAATTATCTATGTGACTGTCTTGTAAAATGAGTGGAGCAGTCTCCGTATGTGCAAACAATAATATGTTGATTCCTACAGGACCTTGGTGGGGGCACATTGGTGGTTTTGCTTTGTTTTGTTTTCTTAATTTTCATTATCTTAGGTGCCCTATACTTAGATGCTGTTAAAATAATGGGCATCAGGTGTGGTAGTACCCACCTGTAATCCCAGCACTCAGGAAGCTGAGTGAGGCAGGAGAATTGTGAGTTTGAGGCCAGCCTATGCTACATTGTGATACCCGTCTCAACCCCCCCCCCGAAAAAATTGGGGGGCTCCCATTTCTGTCTAACCTGGAACAAAAAAATTACTAGCAAACAGTACTCTTACAGCTTTCTTTTTGTATGGAGGAAGTTAGTTGAAGGAGGCTGGACTTGTTTTATTTCAAATCTTTTTACTTATGTTGAAATACAACCATTTAAGGGAATAATCTCTAAGAGATTTTCTCAGGTGACAATACTTCCTGTAGTAGTCTATACTTAACTCTGCCCTCTTCTGTGTCCATAAAAATAGTGATAAATACAAAAGATAACCATTGTTCAACTAATATGCTAAAATTCCCATTGAAAAAGGCCACCTCACACCTATTTCTTTCACTTTTATATGTAATGGAATTTTTAAGGACAAAATGAGCCAACAATACTTTTAATGATGACATGCTTATCCAAAAATCAGTATTTAATATTCCCTTTGTTTCACCTGAGGATATAACATCTAAATAGAGGGAAGTTTAAACAGTGCGGGCAACCTTGTAGACATGCCTACTCATCCTATTCCTGATAGAGATTTTAAAAAAGGAAGAGTTTATGGGCAATAGGAGAACAAAAAAAAAAAAAAAAAGGATGAGAATTCAATTCTTATCTAGTAGTAAAAGGCATTCTCTCCCTGCCTGGTTTTTACCTCAGAATAAGAGTGGCCATTAATCTCTAGCAAGTAGGCCCAACATGCTGAAGACCTGTCAGCACCGTATAAACAGAATAAAGCAAACTGTTAATATTGCTGTCGCAAGCAAACTGAAAACAGACTGATTAATCGTATTGGCGCTCAACCACCAGGGAGCCAACTTTGGTCGTCACCTTATTAGGGAAGTCGCAGCTTGCTTTTAGGCCTTTCATTATTATGACTGTCCAGTTTTCATCTTCACTGTTTTTGTTATTGTTGTTAAATGGACGCCTTGTTCTTGAACCCATACTGCAAATCTTGACTGGCAGGGGTGATTAGTTTAGAAAAGTCAGTGTCCTCCATGAAGCCTAAAATGTTTACAGTGCTGACAGTTTACTGTTTCTGAGGACTCCCAGATGGCCACCCTGCCAAATTAGCTCAAGGCCTAGTTAACTTTTCATGAGAAGAATTATTTACTGAGTCCACATGTGAGGGCACATGAAAGTCTTGGCATGTGTGTCAATGTCAGGACATATCCAGAGCAGCAGCCATTGGGAAAAGTCTTAGGGAGGTCTCTAGAAGAGCTGGTAGTGTGCTCAGCTGAACACAGGGGCAGTAGGATGTGTGTAAATTAGAGGTTACAAATAGGTACCTGAAAGTCAAATTTGGCCAGCAGACATGTTTTGTTTGACCTTATAGGGATAGCCCCCACCAAACTTAGGGGTGATAAAATAGTTGTTAACATTTAAACAATCAGGAGCTTTTATGCACACACAAATTGAAGTTTTCTGGTTTCTCTTGGGAAATCAGAAGCTCTGGTTATACAGGGCTTCCCCTATTTTTGTGTAGCAGCAATCAACTTTAGATACAAGACTCTCCACTTTGCTGTAACCTCTACTACTCCTGTTATCTCACAAATCCAGTGTCACTTGACTATAATACATGGCTGCCCTATTTTTCTTAACCTTAGCCTATTCAGTTCATTTTTGGTGGTGCCTGGGTCTGTATGCATTTGAGTTTTTAACGCTGGATACATAATAGTATATATATATTTTTTAAATTGTAAAAAAATAGTATGTCTCAGCTTTAGCCATCATTTTTATTTCAGGTAAGAAGTCTATCCCAAAGAGTAGCAAAAATCTTAGATTTGGTTTTCTCAAAAGACAAACATGAAGAAGCTTATAGAACTTAGATGAAATAATAGCAGATCAACTTCAAAGTTCTTTAGACTATGGTATTGGGCTAGACTGTTTCAGCATACTCCTCAGGCATTTGCAGTACAGTGACTTAAGGGATAGCTACCTGGAGCACCATCTTACAGTGAGTGGCTCCTAGTTACCACAAAGCTAAAGATTAGATCTGGTTTACCAAGTCCAAGGGAGAAAACAAGAAAAAGAATAAAATGGGGGCA